TTCACAAGATTGCCAATCTGGATGAGTGCTCTCCCTAAGGAAAAAATGTCATACAGATTCGGGTACTGCACCTGATTCACTTCTGATAAAAGCAAAAGAGGAAGCCAAATGTATAGACCTGTGGGCTGGGACACAAATGCCCAAAGAAAGCTTCATCTGGAAAATGCCTCCCTGATGCCCAAAGAAGAGCAAAGCAAACTCTCGATGAACAGTCATAGCAGCAAAGAACTGAAAGTGGCTTGGTTTTTTTCACTGACTTTTGATCAAGACAGCAACTTAAATAAAACTGTACTAAACTTATTACCTTTTCTATCCCGTTTAATATGCACAATGTGATCTCAGTATTGACAATTTCTCTTTAGTGTCAGCAGAGTATTCTTCACAAAGCGATTGGCCAACATGTTCAAAAAGAGTCCAGAGTGATGCAAATGCATTTGATGTGGGGATCTGTGTTATTTTGCCATCACTGGAGAACTTGCAGTACTACAGCTCCTGATTGTTTGATCACTGCTCTGGATACCACGGAGCATAATTGATAAATGTCAGATCTGCTTTGTACATCAAGAGTTTTTACTGTGAAACATTGCTCTTTGAGCTCAGGACAAGAGTTAATTAAAAAGTTGGTACCAAAGATAACATCCTCAGCAGGGAACATCTATTGATCTCTTCAGCAGCGTAAGCGAGAGACAGATATGAGATTATAAAATGTTCTCATAGAACAAGGCTGATTTCCACAACTTTTCCCTATCTCATAAGCTCAAAAAAACCCATCAAGCCAATACTGCTGTTTCTCCAAATTATACTGTCCCTTTTCAATTTCCACATAAAATTCTCTTTTTTTAAAAAAAAAGTTTATCTACTACTTTACTTCTACAGTTCTTAATTTCAATTAAAGATTAGAAATGTATTCAAATGTATTAAATTATCTCTGCCTTATACTTCTTCCTGCAGTTAATACTTGGAGTCCTGACACACTATTACATACCTGAACCTTGCTTTACTTATCCTATTCTGCTGCTTAGGAACTGAAAAAGACAAGTAGAAATAATAGCAAATTCTTCTGTAGACTGCGCTATTTTATTTTCAGGAGCAATTTCTTGACATTCTTCTACTCATTAATATTTTTTGCAAAACTCCGTAAGTATGGATTGTTCCCCCAGCATGTACTACTTTTGAATTTGGGAACTTCTCCTTTTGCACTTTTTAAAAACAAAAATTAGGCATTGGTTTCACTGTTTCTGTGATTTAAAGTTTGAAAGAGCTGCAGAACTACTCCAGTGGGGCTTTGAAACTCATGGATTGCACGACTGAGATTGATCTCTCCATTTTTTAAGGTTTATAAAATCCTGTATGATGTTCTGAAAAAGAAAGCTGCTCTTGTCTTGTGGTCTCATGGTGACCTCACTGCTTTTTCATCACACTTAGGAATATCCAGGACTACAGCCTGGTATGTTTCATGGACCCTCACCAGGTTTCATTTCTCCTTTTCCTTGGTTCAGACACAGGCTCCGTTCACTCCTGTGGGATCTGGTCCCACTCAACAGCCTGAGGTTTATCTACTTTTTTGTTTGAAACACCCTCAGTCACACACTGCCTGCTCATTCCATTCCCTCAGACTCTTTAGGAAAGCTCAATTTGAGAGAAGTCTTAGACCCTAGTTTCCAGATATTTTCCAATTTCATTTTATTATGATTACCCAGTTATAAACCACACATGCCAAGAGGTTGTGCAGTTATTAGGAACACAGTTATTAAGTCTGTCAATTAAGTCTGGCAAAGAAAGTCCTAAAGATGGTAATTTTCTCTGTGTGTTCGAACTTCAAGAGTTATAACAAATGCTTTTACTTTCTAGGTCAATCAAGTTGAAGTGAGGTGGATCAGGATAAAAAATTAATCCACGTCGAGGGAGAGCAAATACTGCCTTCTGATACAGTTCTATTATTCTCTTGTTTTAAAGCCTGTTGGTATATTCTCAGAAACTAAAATAAAAGATATGGGTGAGAGAGACCTGCCAATTTTTAGACCTTGCTTTCTACACTGACCCATCTTGGTATGAGCAGTGAGGTGCTCTGTTCTCTTCTCTGGTAAAAAACACTGCTAAAAGCCTCCTTTTTACAGCATATTGTAATTATTTCACAGGGCAGGATCTTGGAGCAGCACCATGGCAGGTTAGTACTTATATTAATCTAAATTAAATTAGTTATTGGGCCTTCCAGCTGGAAATCTTTATTATCAAGGACTTCCTGTTGGAATTATGGTGTAATTTAGAAGAAAAACCAGCCCAGAGCATTAAGCTTGTTGGATATATCAAGGCCACGTCAGAATGGGGAAGGACTGATCAGCCCTGAACATGGCTAGGGGATAAAACACAGTAAAATTGATCTTTCTTAGAACTCAGTCATTGTATATTCATGGAATCAGGGTAAATGGATCAGCACATTTTAGGATCAAGATTGTTACCCAACCTGACTTGACTCTTTTTAATGAGTTATTTCAAATTGAACAAAAATCTAAAAATATAAACACTCACATACTTAAAAAAAAAAAAAAAAAAAAGGAAAAAAAAAAAGAAATGGACTGTTTGCTGCATCAAAAATAAATTGACAAACCCATTTTTAGAATCTTCTAAATATTGAGGAGACCCTTATGATTTTCAGACAGGGTAAAGTAAATCTTGCATGGTATGTGAAAAGATAAGTGGGCAGAGCAGCTAAAGGGCCACTTGGAGAGAAGCAAAAAGTAGTCAGTGTTAGTTCAGTCATGGCCTGAAAACTTGTCTTTTTCTACATATCAAATGTATTATGCTAAGAGGTAAACTTAATCAAAATTTGTCTCATAGTTTTCTACTATCTCTTGTTATTACTAAAAAAGATAGTTAAGTGATTTCAAGGAATTCCCACTCTGTTTGCAAGTATTTATCAACATGGTCACCTTTGCTACACGTTTTCTACGTCCTCTCAGGCAAGATTTTTTTTTCAAGGCTGAATCTCTTGGAAAACTTTCAACAAAATACAATCTTTATAGAGTGTGTTAGGATTTTTCTAGTCCTCCTGTCAATGCTCTCAATTAGAGACCATAAATAATTCCATTTTTATTATCTTCCTTCTGCATTTTTTAATTCCCTAAGGCTCTGTTTTGAGTTCTAAGCTTTTGTGTATTTACATGCATCCCAGGGGTGTTATTTTCCAACAACCTTACTTCAGTTTTCATTGTTATGCAGATGATGTAAAAAAAAAGGTTTTGGCATTTTCTCTGATCACTCAAAAACTATCTGGGCTCATACTTTTTCTTTAAAGCTCTGCCATCCAGCTCATCTGTTTTGGTTTTTTTTTTTCTCTGAAACACTGATAAGACTAAAACCCTTTTTTCCACCTTTCTTCGGTTCATAGTTTTTTTCCTTCTCTACTATTTACAGTTCTTATGAATTAATATCAATTTAAATAGTATTTCAGCCCAGGAATACCGAATTTTCTGGTTCCAGTTCACCTTTTAAGTCACCAGATAAAACATATTGCATTGCACCATCTCAGCAAACACTTTAAATAACTCTCTGACACACATTTGAAGGTGCTGTTGCCATCATTCCTTTGCAAGATATAAAATGGAGGTGATTATTTTACTCATGTCTTGGTAACAGAACAGATCCATGGATTGCAACAGATCAGCTGCACATATTAGTCACACTGACATCTATTGATGTCAGTTCAGTACATGCTATCAGAAATTCCATCAGCCTTTGCCTTGAGTAATATTTGAGTAGATACACGAAGAGGTCATGAAAATAAGTAATTTCTATTTGTCACAGAAATCCCAGTTAATTATTTGCCCCCTCATTAAAGGTACAATCCAGCTTTGCCTTCCAGAGATAACATAAAACCCTTAGAAATCGTAAACGTGTTATCACTAATAATAGGCAGTTTCCTTTTTCATCTATCCACATAGATTTTATGTTAAAACCTAATCCTAATCACTACACATGATACTTTTCATTTAAATAACCCCACATATACAGGTATGTTTATGTATAGATTTCTAATAATAAAGGGTGAGATCAAGCATTAAGGAAAACTCAGAGAACTACATATAAAAAAGAGCACTCTCCCCATTTTCTCTCTCTGTTGCACAATATTTTCATCTGTTTACAGCTCACAGTGCATTAATGATAAAATAAAATAAAAAGCCTAACAAAATAAAAAAGTAGAGGTGCCTACTCTGAGTTGTGCATGGATTGTTAAAGAACACAAAAGAAAAATACCTAAGTGCATCTGTTATGGCAAATCCATTTCATAGAATAAAATTCTGTACCAGACACTATTACAAGGGGTATTCAGAAATGCAATAATGTTTTAAACACCAGGATACACCATAAAGTATTTCAGAGAAATTTAATCCAGCCATAATACATAACTGGATAAGAAAAGCTAACTGTGCATATATAATCAATAATGTGGTATCTGCCAGTTTAATAGGATATATAAAACCTTTACATTCCCTTCCAAAGTCTCACTTACAAAAAAAAAAAACAAAAACAAAAAAAAACCCAACAAACAAACTCAGCCACTTTCTTGCTGAGCTTAACAAAGTGGTCATTAAACACCTTAAAGTTAGAAAGATGCCATATTTCACATAATGTAAAATAATTACTGAATTACTCTATTTTTCAGAACATCCCCCCCAACACAATTTGATTGAACATTATTATAAAATGGCTTTTGCAATTAAACTTACTGCAACAAAGAAGTAATTTGCAAAGGCTGATAGAAATACACAGGCATTTTTCTTTTGCCCCTAAATTGGGTTCATTACACAGCTCTAGTTACCATCTGGGAAAACCTCAAAACTCTCCACATCTTAAGATGTAGAACTTATTATAAGGCAAATTTAATTATTTAAAATATTGTCTTACAGGACCTCTGCCCCCAGAAGAGTTCTACAGGAGCAAAAGTCAAGGAGATAAGACTGCTACATTCCCCTGGCAGTGCTACACCTCCAAGCTGGTACCTTTCGAGAGGAAGAACATCAGCAGGCTCCAGTTCTACAGGTCCAAGGTGCAGGTTAATCAAACCAAAGTTCATGCAATTCACAAGCCCTATTCCTAACAGGAACAGTGGCCAACAGCTCCTTTCTCTGAAGGACTCACTCCAGTCTCATAAATTCCTGAGAGATACGGTGTGTCTGCAAATACATTTTCAGAAAAAAAAAAAAAAGATTAAAGTGTACTCCCTGTGATAAGTAAGACAGGAGATACACGGGGTGCCCTTCAACCCAAACCATTTGAGAGTTCTATCATCCTCCCAAGGAACCCAAATCAGAGACATCACTGAATGGCCTTGACACTCATCTGGGGATCTGCTAACCCCACTGTCCCTTACTGCTCCATGGACATGCTTGCATGGAGAGTAATCATGGTTTAGGAATGGTCCTGAGGAAAAAAAAAACAAACATATTTATAGTTTTGTGGTAAGAGGACTTAGAGGATTTAGGAATCAGGGCAATTTGTGTCACTTCTTTTTGATTTCTGTAGCTAACAGTTCATGTCATGTCATGTGGCTGCTGGACAGGAATGAAGTCCAGCACATAAAAAGGCAAAGAACTCCAGCACACTACACTCTGCTGCAAAGAGATGGTTCATTTCTGATAAACTTGGACTCCAGCACAATAACACCAGTGGTAATAATAACTATTATGATGATGATGATAATAATATAAATAAAATGTTGCATATATAAAATCTAATATAGAGATAAATAAATAAATAAATGCATAAATACATAAATAATGGAAGAAATATCAATGAAAGTGTTTGCAAGTGGCAAAGAAAGGGTAGTGCAGGTCATCTTAAATTGGATGTAATCAGTTAGTGTCTCTAAAGTGAAGAACAAAAAAAAAAAAAAGATAGTCTAATTAGAGGCTATGTTTTGGTGGTAAGGACATGGAAACAGATGGGCTCTGGAATCCCTGAGATCTCCATCTCAGGTTGGAGAACTGACAGGCAATCATCCAGGCTTTTAATTGTCAGCAAACCCTAACACAGTTTGGCCAAGGCCAACTAAGACACTGGCACGAAATGTCTAAGCATGGTTTAGGGGATTGTAAGGGCTAAAAATAATTCACAGTTGGTAATATTGGTCAGGCAATTCTGTTTCTAGAGGAAGAGAGTTTGGCCATCTGGAAGTAAGCCATGAAGTACCATTTCATCTCAGGGCCAGACAAGAGAGCCTGGCTTATCTTACCTATTAGTACAAATGAAGTTTCTAAAATCCTTCATAGCCTGATTTTCCAACAGTTGTATGATATGTCTGATGCTGTTCACTAAGATGCAATCATAAAGCAACATTAAAAAGAAACCCATTAGGTGAATTTTGAGAAAAAATTATGAAGTGGGATTTATTTATAAAATTACCTTGATTTCCTCCTCAGTTTCTTCCTTCCTCCCTTAATTGATCAACCAAAGTTCCTGTTGTTGCTGTTTGTTCAGAACCAAAGCACATTACACAGTTTCCTTCTGTATATGTTGAGGTTTTGTAAATATATGGGCAAATATACTTTTAAATGGAAAACATTAACAAAAAGAGGAAACCCACATCTAGCCCTGATAGTAATATGTGAGCCTAATATTGTTATAAATGAAACTATGGGAACAGCAGAACACAGAATCTAACACAGTGTGTTTAAAATCTGGATTTTTATTCTTTTAATGATGTGTTCATTGTGCTTGCAGATCTTGGCAAATTATGCCATCAAAACTAATAATGTAAAAAACCGTCATTACTTTGAGAAGTTTAGTTTAAAACAGAGAAGACAAAGAAAACTATAGATTTATATTTTCCTTTGAGGGGGGCCTGTGAGCTACACAACACTGTTGAAGCTATGTCACAGTCACTTTTTCTTCTAACATCTTAAGTGACTGGCTGAAAGAAGGGCAGCTGGAATTAAATCTCCTTGGTTTTGTTCAGCTGGGCCAGGCTGTCATGTCATGGCAGAGTAACTCTGAGTGATCCATGAGCATACTTCCTGCTGTTATGAATAGCAACATGGCACCAATGAATTCTTCTCACTCAGTTGACTCTGAGTTGAACACATTAAAGGCTTATAGAGGAAGAAGCTGTGTCTACCTGAATGTCCTGGGACTCCTGAGACTCCTACACTGAGGTACACAGCACACCAGGTTTCAGTAGAGTGTGAGGATAAGAAGGCACCAAGAACAAGGGCAGTTGTCGGAAAAGCAGCCTCAGGCAAAAGTCCTGCCTGTCTCCTGGAAAGACAGACATGACAGGAGTCCAAAACATTATCCCAAAAATAGTATAGAAACACGCAAAATTTCCCATTAAATCTGAGTGAGAAACACTGCTTTTGTTAATAGCTTTTTCCTGAATGGAAATTGCATAATTTGTACCCTTTGTTTGGGACAATAATTAATCCTGTGTAAGTGCATTCAGGAGAGACTTCATTACAATTTAAGTTCCCAAATATCCTGGAAAGCTAACCTCTACTGAGGGCCCTGCCTGTGGGGCTGAACTTCTCAAGAGGACTGTGAAAGCCTGGAATCCCACTCAGCTGTCTCTCCACAGACAAACTATTTAACAAGAGCACATAATATCATCTTTAATGGAAGATCAGTAGTTGGCCAACAGTTTCCAAAGGGGGGACCAAAAGTGGGAGGTGAACAGAAATACCTGACAAGCAAACTCCTCTACTTTCAACTACAGCACTGGTCACATGCCAAGCCAGAAACCTGCACTGTTCCTTGTCCTGGAATCACACTCAATACAGACATTTTGAAGTGAATATCGCATTCTTCTTCAGGAGATTATTTTCTTTCATACCTAATCTCTCTTAGTTAATCATATGTATCTCCATCTTGATTTCCAGTTATTAAGAAAAAAAGAGTGATGAATCAATAACATTTTCTACAACAGTACTGCAAACCTCCAAACATCCAGATAGACTTTATACTGCTTTTTTATTATAAAAGAAAGAGGTATCTGGAGTTAACAAGAGGTAGATGTCTTACAGATTTTTTGATATATTTCCACCTATTCAAACATTCTGAGTTCACAGAGTCAGCCAGAAGCAACATGGCAAAGAGAATTAAAGAGGATATTTATCTTTTCTTTCAAGATCACAAAAAGGGACAATATTCCACTATCAACATATTGCTCAAGTCTGCATTACCAAAAATGCAGGAGGACATCAAATACTTCTTTTCTGCAGGATTATCTGTATTTTCTTTATAGGCAAATCCCTACTGTATCTAGTTTTATGCTCTCCAGAAGGCTGCAGTTCACCTTTCACACAAACATAGCAAGATATATTTAATCTTGTTCTCCCCAGAATCAAGAAACAGTGCAAATCTCTACACCCTTCATAAATTGTTTGTAATGGGCTTGTTTAGCTCAATTGTTTAGCTAATTCCATTTTCCTTCACTCCATTAAAGGTTTGAGGTTTGCCATATCAGCTAGAGATTCTAGCTGGAACAGTTTGAAGGGTTCTTCATAATGCAGAATGAAAACTGGTTTCCTGTCAGATGGAGCTACCAAACTGCTGGATAGACAAGATTTTATTCTTCAAAAAATCTCCAGTCTGAAGCTTCAGGAAACACTTCAGATCTGTGCAGCCAATAGAGCCTTTAGGGAGATCAGTTAAACATGGAAAGCAAAAGGTCTGATGTATTATTTATGAACTACAGAAAACACAAAGAGCACTAAACTCTTATCACCTGCAAGAGGACTAGATGACTGTCATGGATAATCTGACTAACAGTGAGGACACAGAAAAATATTTATCATTTTTATGGATTCATTTACTATTTATGAATTTAGGTTGTAATATACCTGGACAGAGCAAGGCAAAAATGGAGCCAGGCACAAAGTGGGATTCTACAGAAATTCCTCCACAAGCTCCTGACTCCTCACACCTACAGTTCCAGAGAGGCATCCCTTCCCAGCAAACTGCTGCTCAAAATAATCCATGTAAAACAATGCAACAATTCTGCAAATTAAACCAAATTACAATGGGACTAAACTCATTTGTAGCTGTGTCTCTGTTTTGAACAAGATTTTGACAATAGCTTTTCAAAACTAAAAAGCCAGAACACAACCCACCCATTTTATAGCCTGTGCTGAAACAAAACAGAGCAAAATAATAATAAAAAACAACCCAACAAACAAACAAAAAATCACAAAACCAATACAATGAATAACATTAAAAGCTCTGTTATAACTTAATGCTTTGAAATCAGAAGGTGTCTTTACAGGAGATCTGATGGGTTATTCTTTATGTCATTCACCTCATTGGTGAGGCTTAATTACTGCCTTACTGTACAGCAAAACTGTATCCACTAGCCATTCCAGCAGAGAGCCACAAACTATACCTTAGTCTTATCTAAAAAGAAAAAAATTACACTAAAAGACCTTAATCTGCATCCTATCACTTGCTTTTTTTTTCCAGGACAGCCACAAGAGTTGGACAGCTAATTCAAAATACCCTTATAAACAAACTACATGGACACAGAGACTATTTTCGTCTTCCATCACATTTTTCCTTTGTGATCTTTCTCCTGCACCAGCTAGGGATTTCCAGGCAGAAGCATATACTCAGTAAGTTTGTTTTCTAAGTCTAGATACTTAAAAGAAAAAAGAAAAAAAGGAATCCAGATGGCACAGATGTCAATGTCAAAATCACAATCCTTTCAATAGTTCTTCATCCAAGGTCTTTTTCATACTCTTTTTCATATCTTTTCACGAATTAATGCAATGTCACGTTGCAGTGTTTCATCTCCAAAGATTGTCCTTCAATTCGAATGATAATGTGAAAAACTTGCAAATTACTATAGAAAAAAATGTTTCTTTTGGCATTTGCCATATCTTTGACATTGCAGGAAGGTAACACTGACACCATGTTAAAGGTTATACCCCACTGAACAGCAGTAGATAGTTTCAGCTATAAATACAAAAGAATTTCTAGCATTTTCTTTAACTAATCTTAAAACATGATACATATGGCTTGTGTTTTTTAGCAGCTTATGAGCTTTAAGCTCAACATCATATCATAGAATATCAAAATCCAAATAGACCCATTATTTTTGTCCCACTAAGTT